CCTTGGTCTTTTCATTAGGCAGAGGGAACTCAATCTTCTGGTTAATACACCCCAGTCTGATCAGTGCTGGATCCCAAGTTTCTATCCATTTTGTAGCCACAATCACTTTCATATCTCTCCTACAGTGAAATACATCCAACTGGTTCAACAATTTCAATATCATTCATTGAATTTCTCTTTCTCTCATTGAATTTGTATCATACCTTTTGGTTCCAATGGTATCAATCTCATCAATGAAGACAATCAACAGAGCATGTTCCTCAGCTACTTGGAACAATTCTTGAAGGAGTTTGAGCCCATTTCTTAAGTACTTCTGTATAAGCTCAGAACCAACAACTCTCAGGAAGGTCCCTGAGCTCTGATTTGCTACAGTTTTAGTTAACAAGGTAGATGTATTCTTGACCGAACAAGAGATAGAGGCAATTATGAGAGAAAATATGTGACTTTGATTACTTGAAAATGGAAAGCTTCTTCACACTCAAAATTAATACATATAGGATAAGAAAGGAAGTAGTCAAGTGCAAAAAAATTGTATCAAATAAGTGTTTGGTATCCAAGTTACATAGATAGATAGATAGATAGATAGATAGATAGATAGATAGATAGATAGATAGATAGATAAATAGATAGATAAAGTTTAGTCAGTGCATTTGAACAAACGCTTCTCAAAAGAACAGCAGAGTATTCATAGCCACATTAAAGAATTCTCCAAATCATAAAAAATGTTCTCCATAACAGCAAAAAGCAAATCAAAACAGCCCTGAAGTTTCACTTCACACTCTGAAATTGGCAAAGATGACAAAAAATGGCAATAGTCAATGTTGGAGGAGGTGTAGAATGATAGCTAAACTAATACATTGCTGATGAGCTGTGAAATGGTATTAACATTTTGCAAACATTTTGTAAAACCATCTGGAATAACACAAATAAAGTGACTGAAATGTGTATATTCTTTGAACCAGAAACTCCACTACTGGGCTTATACTCCAAGGAAGCCATCAATAGGAAGAAAGTGCCCATATACACCAAAATATTTATAGCAACACTTTTTGTGATAGCAAAGAAATGGAAGTAGATACTTAGCAGGTAGGGAACATCTAACTGAATTGTATCCATGAATGTAATGTAATATTATTGTGCAGTAAGAAATGATGCATGTCCATCAGTTGGGGAATGGCAGAACAAGTTGTGGTATATGATTGCGATGGATTACTATTGTGCTATAAGAAATGATGGGCAGGATGATTTCAGAAAAACCTGGAAAGACTTAGATGAATGGATTCAGAGTGAAGTGAGCAAAACTAGAACATTGTACATAGTAACAACAATATTGTATGATAATCAACTCTGAATGATGTAGTTATTCCCAGCATTACAATGTTCCAAGACAATTCCAAAGGACTCATGATGAAAAATGCTATCCACCTCCAGAGAAAGAACAGATGGAGTATAAACAAAGTATGGATCAAAGCATAATATTGTTCACTTTATGTGTGGGTGTGTTTTTTATCTGTGTCTTCTTTCACAACATGATTAACATGGAAAGGTTTTGCATGATTGCACATGTATAACCTGTATCAAATTACTTACCATCTCAGGGAAGACATTCTGTATAATCAGTTCTCACATTTCTGTATATATAGTTCTCCAATATCTCTCTCTCTCTCTCTCTCTCTCTCTCTCTCTCTCTCTCTCTCTCTCTCTCTCTCTCTCTCCCCCCCTTTCCCTCTCCCTCTCTCTCTCTCCCTCTCTCTTTCCTCTCTCTCTCTCTCTCCCTCTCTCTCTTTCTCTCTCACACACACACACACACACACACACACATCAAGACTTGCGTATTTCTAAGTAGATGTCCCAAAGCCATATTAAACTAACCATATCCAAAATACAACTCAATACTTCTCTCCTCTAAATTTCCCAATTTCCCCTGAGCACATGAATATATCTTTCTAGAGACTATGGAACTCAAGATTTTTAAAAATGAATGTTAAAATTGTTCTTACATGTAATTGGGAAAATAAATGAAATATTATCTCTTTTTTAATCATGGCTAGCAACTAACCAAACCTATTAGAACCAAAGGATAAAATGAAAATATGAAATATTCATAATTTGCCTCCGGAAAGAATTCTCATAATGAAAAGTTCTAACAAGTTAGTAGCCAATTTTAGCTTCTAGACCAAAAACCAAATTCTTCAACTTCCCAGAAAGGGGAAGTTCAGTACCCCCAAAGGAAAGGAAAGGAAAGGGAAGGGGAGGGAAGGAAAGGGGAAGGAAGGGAAAGGGAGGGGAGGGAAGGCAAACAAGTATTTGTGAAAAATATAAAAAAGCATAGAAAGATCTTCACAAACTGATACAGAGTAAATGAAGCAGTACCAAGAGAACAATAAACACAACTACAACAGTGTAAATGGAAAGAACACACTAAAAAAGTGAATGTAACAAAATTGTAAAGATCAAGCAGGATTCAAAAATAGAGTTATGGGAGGACCCCTCCTTCATGGAGGTGGAAGGTCTCAGAGTGTTATATATTGCACATGTTTCTTTCAGATTTTTTCAATGCATCTATCAGTTTGGGGGGGGGTCCTTTTTAAAATTTATTTTTGGTACAGTTTCTTGGAAGGGGAAAGAGGAGGAATACCATAATAATGTCAGTTTTCCTTTCCTTTCTTTACTTTGGAGGTATTGAATTTCCCCTTTCTGGTAATTTGAAGTATTTGGTTTTTGGTTTAGAAACTAATATTGGCTACTAATTTATTTGGGGTCTTCATTATGGAGATGGATTCTTTCAGCGGACAAACTTTGGATATTTCATATTTTGTAAGAAACAAAAGACTTCAATAAATAGTCACTTGATACATGAATACATAAATAAATGAATGGATGAATGAATGAAAGTATTCCTGGATTTTTCCTTCTATTTGATCTACAATGAGCCATTATCACCATCAGTTCCCTTCCTTATCCTCTATTTCTCTGTATGGTCTCTCCCACTCCAATTACAGTGTAAGCTCCTTAAGAACAAAAACCATGCTGTTTTCCACCTCAGTATCCCCAACGCACAGCACAAGACCTTGCAGGCAACAGGGGTTTTATAAATGTTTATTGAACTCAAATCATTTGAAAATATTTATTGAGCATGTCCTGTGTGCAAAGCTCTCTGCCAGCACACTGGGGGATACAGACATGCGCAAGGCAGGATTCTAGCCTTCAAGGTGAAGAAGACTGTGGAAAGCTGGAAGTGAATAGATTGTTTATGTGGGGTGAGAGCCAACTTAGCCAGGCTATAAGATCAGCTTAGAAGCTGGTAGACTTGTATATCACATCAGGAAAAAAATGCACATTAGAAAAGATGAAATCAGGAATTTTCCCCAGATGGTATGAGTATACTGAGTGTCTCAGAATCACATGCCCTCTCTAACCTGCCCGAGAGAACAAGAAAGGAACAGGGAAGGACCAGTCAATCTTTCTCCATAGAAAAATGTCTCTTTATATAACAGTGGTCTCCTAAAATGGGGCCAGGTCCCCGTAATGGGCCATGGAATATGTTCACAAGGTTTCAGTGACTTGATCCCAGACTACTATGGGCTCATCTCCAACAAAACCATCTTCAACAGCTCCCACAGCCGGCTTTCAGTGGCTTACTGAGTTCCAGCCCCTTAAGGCTTCTGTAAGCAAACAATACAGAAACCTGTAGATGCTCACTGGCAAATTTCCACACCAACCATTTCCCTCCAACATCCTTACAACCTATCTCTTGCATCACAACAGTAGGCCCTGTTCACCAGGGAAGTTTCTTTACTTAATCTTTCCCTTACCCAACACACTTTGCAATTTCAATAGAAAAAGTGTGAGCAGCACATGATAAGAAGATCAATTTCTACTGGTTTTCTTTCCTCACAAGCCCTGCTTACAACCTGCCTCTTTTCCAATTTTGCCCATTTCCATTGAAGGAAATACCATCCTTCCAGTCTCCCATTATCTCAGCCTCCTCTTTATCTTTGAATCATAACTCAAATAAAACTGGCCTCTTCAAAGATCAAAATGTCTTAATTGACAAGTCTGTTGATCTTTTCTCAGTCTTAATCTTTCTTGACTTCTGTGCAGCATCTGATACTGTTGACCTCTCTCTCCTCTTGGATACGTACAATCTCCTCTCTGAGTTGGGATGACATTACTTTCTCTTGGTTGTCCTCCTACCCATCTCACCACTCCTAAGTCTCCTTTGCTGGATCTTCTTCTATATCATTGCCCCTACATGTGGGTGTTCCCTGGTCCTGTCCTGAGCCCTCTTCGATATGAACACTCTCTTATTTGGTGCCTTTATCACCTCTCATGGCTTTAATTCTCTTCTCCATGAAGGTGGCTCACAGTTCTGTATATACAGTTCTCACATTCTTTCTCTCCCTCTCTACCTCCCTCCCCTCTCCCCCCTCTCTCTCATCAAGAGATTACCTATTTCTAACCAGATGTCCCAAAGCCACCTCAAACACCACATGTCCAAAACAAAACTCACTACCTTCACCACCTCTGAACTTCCCAATTTCCCCTGAGCGCGTGAATATCTTTCCAGTCCCCAGGCTCTCATTCTTGTTATTATCTTGGGTTCCTCACTATCCCTGGCCCGACACATCCAATGTTACAAATCATTCTATCTCTACAACATTTTTCCTATCTGTCTCCTTCTGTGCACTCTCATAGCTACCACCCTAATTGAAACCATCCTCATCTCTCAACTAGACAATTGCAGTAGCCTCCTAATCCATCACCCTGCCTCATCTCTCCCCTGTCTAATCTTTCCTCCATGATGTTGTCCCTGATGAGCGGGTCTAAGCACATTACTTCCCTACTCAATAAATTCTAATGACTCCCTATTAATTCAAATGTGTAGGATCTTTACCTCTTCCTTTTTCTAACCTCAATTTTTTTTGCCTTATCCTTCTGCCTCTTTCTCTGCTGCTCTGTCTGTCACCACGCAACTATAACCAAAATGCCTCATTGAGGGCTCTGAACAGAGTGGACACTTGGCTGGAGTGCTGAATGAGTGAATGGGTCTCTGCTAAGCAGTCTGGCAAATGTTTACAGAGTTGTCAGTAGCCACAGTCCAAACTCTGAGGCAAGATGGAAAGTGCTGAGTTGGAAGGTGAGTGTGTCCCCCAACTATCCTCAAGACAAAAAATCCCTAAATCTAACCAAATTGAGTGTCAGCACTTAGCCTATCACCTATAATGCCATCAAAAGAGGCTGCCTTCCATTCTGGGGGAATGGCTCCTGGGGGACCTGGAGGAGCTCCTTGTAGACTCCCAGAGCAAACTGTGGCCCCACCCCTTTTTCTTCCAATATGGACTCTTGGTGTTGTGCAGGTTTCTGGGAATTACTACCTGAAGGGGTGGGAACTCTCAGCCACCTCAGAGTCCTCCTGGATCTCTATGTGGAGATTCTCAGCCTTGAGAACTAATTAGGCTCAAGAGCCCTGCAGTGGACAGATTGAACCAAGAAACAGCTGAAGACATCTGCAGTCCCAAAGACCAGAATACATTTATCAAAGTCAGAGAGTATGTGTCTGTGTTTCTGTGATTCCATATTATGAGGTATGTTTAGAGCATGAAGGGGTTCTTGACCTGGTGTCTGTGAATTTGTAGTTTTGAATTATTTTGATACCTGTTTTAATATGATTTCCTTTATAATCCATGTATTTTATTTTATGCATCTAAAAACATGATTCTGAAAATGGGTCCATAGGTTTCTCCAGACTGCCAAAAGTATCCAGGACATGAAAAAGTTTAAGAATCTCTGGTTTAGAGGCTCTGAGTATGTTTGTCTATGCCAGTAATACTCTGCATGTATTGATTTATCTCTGTATTTCTGTGACCCTGAGTATTATAATGATTGTGTGGATGGATTTGGTCTGAGTGTTTATTTCTGTACCTGAATTACAATATATGTTTGTCTAGAGGATACAAATTGTGTACTCATGTTACTAACACAGAGTTGGGGGCTGATGGGAGGGTGTGGTGACTGGGTAATATGTTTCTTTGCCAATAGAAATTTCATACAAGGATTTCTTGATCAGGTAGAGGTTGCAGTAGATGGATCCTGTGGTCCCTACCAATGAGAGTAAGGACCTATTCTCCCCTCCCAGATGGCAGGTTGGGCTGGCAGCCCCAGGGGTAAAGCAGGAATGTGGGGACCTCACCTGAGGAGATGGACATCAGGTTTATACTTTCTCCTACAGGGGCTTCAAAATGAAGACTATCTTTCTACTAGCTGTCCTAATGACCTGTGGTAAGAAGTGACCACATGACTGACCTCTTCCCAGGAACCAGCCCCAGGAAGGACAAATCTCGGGTTGTATAAAAAGTGCCTCCCCAGCATCTTTTAGACTCCCTAGCACTCCCCATTCCTTGAACCTTGCAAATCCCAATTTAATTCTTCAGTCGCTTCTTAGAGACTGAAGGGAGGAAAATAGAGAAAACAAGATTCTCCCCTCAGATGAAAAATGGGGGAAGGACAGACTAAAGCAGTAGTGGAGAGAGAAGACAGAAGGGTGGCCACATCTGACTGGGGACCACTGGTCTCCTTTGCAGGCTTATCTGAGGTACAAGGGAACTTGATACAATTCAAAAATATGATTGGGAAGCTCACAGGGAAGAATGCATTGATTAACTATGGCTTTTACGGTTGCCACTGTGGCTGGGGAGGCAAAGGAACCCCCATGGATGCTACTGACAGGTAAGTTGCTGTTCCCCAGCCCTGCCAGGGTGGTTACCTTAGCTTCCTTGGGAATCACTACAAGCAGCACTGACAGAAGACGCAAATTAATGGGTAGGGCACAAGACAGGGGTACCAAAGAAATGCATTTCAAGGGCAAAATTATACAAGAGTGTTCTCCTCTAGCACTTCTTGGATTCTTTCTATAGATGCCCTGTAGACCATTAGAAGAGATAATACAGAGGAGTGGGACCAGGTAAGTTTTCAGAATCAGAGACTCTCTATTAAACAGAACTAGATTTGGCATTGCAAATTATCTTAGAGACCATGTAGTCCAATCCCCTCATTTACAGATGAGAAAACTGTGGTTCTAATAACTCAGATGTTATGGCTACCACAGCAGGGCTCATTCCACCCAGCAGACTGCCTCACTGGGTGGTCTCTCTGAGTGCCCTGTTGGCTGACCACCTGCTCCCCAATAGGAGAGGGGGACACACTCAGCAGGGCTCCTCTCTTTAGGTGCTGTTTGTTCCATGACTGCTGCTATTCAAAGCTGAGGAAGAAAGGCTGCATCCCCAAAATACAGACCTACAAATATGAGTACCAGGATGGATCCATCACCTGTGGTGAGATAGCACATTACAGTCAGGCACCACTGAGTACTCCACATGTGCTGAACCCTTAAATGGTGTCTGGAAGGGCAGTACTCTGAACTCCCTGAAAACAAAGGCTTGCACTCTCCCCTCAGACAAGGGGCTTCCCCTGGGGAAGGGATTATGTCTCCAACAAAGGCACTCAGTAAACGGGCTCAGCTTGGTGGGGCAGCCTAAAAGGTGTCAATAGAAAAGAAAATTACCAACACTTCTGGCTCATTCATTTCTCTGAACTCATAGGGTCTGGGAACTACTGTCAGAAGAAAATCTGTGAGTGTGATCGAATAGTTGCCTCCTGTATGAAGAAAAACCTGAAGACTTACAATGTCAAGTATCGCTACTTCAGAACTTCCCGGTGCTCAGAGGATACACCTGAATGCTGAGAGTTTCTTTTCCCCTTCCTCAGGAAGAACTGATAAGAAGGAGCCTTGAAACTCCAATGCCAAAGCCATCACCCCCCAATCCACAGCCTTTCACATCTCCTTTTCTGAACACTATTGCTTTGACATCAGGACTCAAATTAATCAACAAACCTTTAGTAATTGCTTACTCCGGGCCAAGCATCTAATGTAGTTAGCATCCTCAATTCCAGAGGGCTGATGATCAAATCCATCTCCCTTCTCTCAGGAGAGAGGTGGAAAGGGAGGGATGTGGAATCTGTACCTGTAGTCTGATGCTGTTGGGACATTTGGTTTGATTTGTTTTGCACTTACTTACTTGTTATGAGGAGAAGGGTAGTTGTTAGGAAGTGATATAAAAAAAAAACCTATCAATAAAATGTTGAGTTTCGGGTCTTGTTTTGTTTTGTTTTTTTTTTCATCAGTCCTCTATTGTTGGCATGAAGGAAATTTGCTCTGTATGGGTCACATAGGATGGGGAAGAGAGGGAGGAAAAGAATGCAGGGGAAAGAAACATGGTTTTGCCCTCTCTTATCTGCAGACTCAGCTCTTCCAACTTGTCACTATTCCTCTGAAAGGCTCATAAACATGATCTCTGAGCTGAAAGTGAGTTCGACTAGAAGCCATATAGTATAAGCCTTCCTAGAGAAGAAGCTTCTATCTCAGAGCTACTTCTGCCTTCGTCACAGTAGGTGTTGAATGAATGCTTGATAAATCACTGAATCTAATAACCCAATTGCTGACTGGGGAAGGGAGAGAGCAGACCAGAGGCCCTTCCCAAACCCCCTCCCCCTGCTTCCAGCTGGGCTGACTCACCTTCCCTGTGGGCTGTCTCCAGGACCCCCGCTGTCATGAACACCTTGGGCTCCACATGTCTCTAAGCTACCTGCTACAAGGGGGAACACCAGTGCAGTATCAGCCAGAGTCACACACATTTTAGAAGGCCAAGCCTTTTCAGCCAAATACTTGTGCAGTGCATTCCAAATGCAGTGATATCATTGCTGAGGGAAACTATACCATCAATCCTATCTAGAACTTAGCATTGGAGAAACTGCCAGAGACTTAGGGAGGTCAAATGTTCAGCAGGCGTCAAAGGCAATATTTAAATGCAGGTGTCTCTGGATACCTGGACACCTATCCTGGAGCGCCAGTGCTCTAGGCACTATGGCAAGATTTTACAAAATCCAAAATGAGCAGCTGTGGACTACCCATACCCAAGTCTATTTCAATTCCTTTCTTTCCTTTGCATAGTTAATTCAGTTCAATAAACATTTATTAAGGGCCTATTCTGTGCCAATCACTGTGCTAGGCACTGTGGATGCAAAAAAGGAAAAGAACCCTTGCCCTCAAGGAGCTTACAGTCTAATGGTGGAAGACAAGACATAAAGCATAGTTTATACCACCATAAATGTAGAGCTGGAAAAGACCTCACACATAGTCCATCTAGTATGACTCCCTAAGGAGGCAGACTTCTATATAGGCCACCTATAAGGCCTCCAGCCTCAGAGCAAAAGGCAAATTGCCAGTCCCACAACCTAGGTAACCACAGGTGGAACAAGGTTGGGTCACCCCAGCACAGTGATCATCCCCCCAGCACCTAAGGCCACACCATATAAAGCCAGTGACCAGGCACCTGGCCTCCGGCACAAGAAGCTTTGGACAGTGTCCCCTGTGCTCCAGTAGGAGGGCTCAACTTTAAAAGCTAGGAAATAGGCAAAAAAGATGACCAAGAAGCTAGAATGAACATTGACCATAGAGAGAGCTACTACGGTGACAGGGAGTGCCAAAACACAAACTCAGAAGAGGACAACAATGTCATAATGCCTACATGCAAAACATCAAAGGAGAATATGAATTGGTCTCAACCCCAAGCTCTTCTTGGAAGAGCTCTAAAAGGATTTTAAAAGTCAAATAAGAGATGTAGAGGAAAAATTGGGAAAAGAAATGAGAGGTATGCAAGAGAGACACAACAACTTGTAAAAGGAAGGACAAAAATTAACTGAAGAAAACAATTCCTTAAAAAATACAATTTGCCAAATGGGAAAAAATCCACTGAAGAAAACAACTCCTTAAAAAGTAGAATTGGCCAAATGGAAAAGGAGATACAAAAGCCAACTGAAGAAAATAATTCCTTAAAAATTAGAATTGGGCAAGTGGAAAGTAATGACTCTATGAGACACCAAGAATCAGTCAAACAAAATCAAAAGAATGAAAAATAGAAGAAAATGCAAACTACCCCATTGGAAAAACAATTGACCTGGAAAATAAATCCAGAAGAGATAATTTAAGAATTATTGGGCTACCTGAAAGCCGTGATCAAAAAAGAGCCTAGACAGCATCTTTGAAAAAATTATCAAGGAAAACTGCCCTGATATCCTAGAATCAGAGAGCAAAATAGTAATTGAAAGAATCCACTGATCACCTCCCAAAAAAGATCCCAATCCAAGGAATATTGTAGCCAAATTCCAGAATTATCAGATCAAGGAGAAAATACTGTAAGCAGCCAGAAAGAAACAATTCAAGTATCATTGAGCCACATTCAGGATTACACAGAATTTAGCAGCTTCTATATTAAAGAATCTGGGGGCTTGGAATATGATATTCCAGAACACAAACAAGCCTGCATTACAACCAAGAATGAACTACCCAACAAAATTGAGTGCAATCTTTCAGGGGAGAAGATGGATATTCTATGAAATAGGAGACTTTCAATCATTCCTGATGAAAAAACCAGAGCTGAACAGAAAATTTGATCTTCAAATATAAGACTCAAGAGAAGCATAAATAAGTAAAGAAAGAAAAAAAAACCATGTTATTCAATAGCTTGAACTGTTTACATCCCTACATAGGAAGATGACACTTGTAACTCTTGAGCATTATATCTTTATTAGGACAGTTAGAAGGGGCATATACATAGAGGGTGTGAGAATAAGTTGACTTTGATGTGATGATATAAAAAATAAAGGGTGAAAAAAAGGATTGTACTGGAAGAAAAGGAAAGGGAAGGCAAAAGAGGGTAAATTAGATCAAATAAAGTAAAAAGGGAGGGAGGGAGCTGCATTTGAACCTTGCTCTCATCGGATTTGGCTCAAAGAGGAAATAACATATACACTGAGTTGGGTATAGAAATTTACTTTACCTTATAGGAAGGTAGGAGGAGAAAGGGGAAAATAGGGAGGGATGGAGAGAAAGGAGTAAAAAAGTAGTACAGGAAAGGGGAAAGAGAAGGAAGGGACTGATAGAAGGAAGGGCAGCTTGAAGAAGGCAGTGGTCAGAAAAATAATACTACCAAAGTTAATTTATATTTTTAATGAAATGTTAATCAAATTACCCAGGAAATGTTTTATAGTACTTGGTAAAAATATAACAGTATTCATTTGGAAAAACAAAAGATATTGAATACCAAGGGGTATGTTGAAAATAAATAGGCAGGAAAAGTAAATAGCACTTCTGGAGTTCAAATTACGTTATAAAACAGCAATCACCAAAAACATTTGGTATTGGTTAAAAAAGAAAAAGTTCAATGGAAGAGACTAGACAAAGGGAAAATCAGAAAAATAAAAAGATGAACTCAATAACCCAGTGTTTGATAGAGTACAAAACATAGATTGCCCATGGGGAAAAAAAAAACCTTCTTATTTGATTAAAAAAACTGCTTGGAAAATTAGAAAGCAATATGGTAGAAATTGGGCTTAGACCAACAGCTTACAGCATGTGCCACTATATCCTAAATGGATACATGACTTTAATATTAAAGATCAGACTACTGAAAAACTAAAAGAGAAGCAGATTTCCCTCAGTCATGAGTAAATGTATTTTTTTTTTTTTGCCTTCTGAAAGAAAATGTTTTATTGTGGCATACAGTGTAGCAGAGTGAACAAAAGACTAGCACAATTCAATGGGTACTCCACAAATTATAGCTGAGAAATATACATTTTTTTAAAAACTTTGCTCATACAGGCCTACCGGAGCATGTATGCCCCTTCAGTTCTCCCAGTGTCATTATTTCAAGAGGTCTGGTAAGTTCCCAACAACTGTCATGAAAGCAGCATAGTTCATTTAGAGATAGAGTCCCTCTGGGCTGCCTTCTTGTTGCTTATAAAGTACATTTTCTTTAGATTTTTTTTAAAGTCTTCACCTGTAATTTTTATTTTACGTTCTCTTAGGGCTAAGAAACCAGCTTCTGTACAAATTGCCTTGATATCTGCTCCAGGCAAATCTTCTTTAGCTATGATCAAATCCTCTAAAGTCACATCATCTGCCAAAGTCATTCTGCTTGTATGAATCTGAAAGATATGCACCTTTGTCTTTTTGTCTGGCAGAGGGAACTTGATCTTCTGGTTAATACATCCTAGTCTGATTAGTGCTTGGTCCAAAGTTTATATTCAGTTTGTGACCATAATCACTTTCACATCTCTCCTACAAGTCAAACCCATCTAACTGGTTCAACAATTCCAACATCATTCACTGAATTTCTCTTTCTCCCTCTGAATTTGAATCATATACAAAAGAATAATATCCAAAAGAATGGTATCAATGGTATCAATTTCATTCAATGAAGACAATCAATACAGCATGATCCTCAGCTACTCAGAACAATTTTCAAACGAGTTTGAGCCCATCTCTTAAATCCTTCTGTATAAGCTCAGAACCAGCAACTCTGAGGGAGGTCCCTGAAGTCTAGTTTGCCAACAAGATAGATATATTTTTTCTTTTTTTTTATTTAAATTTTTTTTATTTTTTCCCCTATGCTTTTGAGTTGAAAATTTTTCTCCCTTCCCCCCCCACCCTCCCCAAGACAGTGCACAATCTGATATAGGCTTTACATTTACATACCCATTAAACATATTTTCACATTAGTGAAGTTGTAAGTAAAAATTAAAACCAATAGGAGGAACCATCAGAAAGATGAAACAAAACTCAACAGAAGGTAAAAATAAGTGATAGCAATTCGACTTTCATAGTTCTTTCTTTGAATGTGAACAGCATTATCCATCCCGAGGCCTCTGGAAATGTCTTAGATCCTCATAATGCTGAGAAAGGTTCAGTTTAACAATCTTAGTCATTGCATAACGTGGCTGTTATTGTGTACAAAGTCCTCTTGGTTCTGCTCACTTCACTCAGCATCAGACCATATAAGTCTTTCCAGGTTTTTCTGAAGTCAGCCTGTTCATCATTTCTTATAGCACAATAGTATTCCATTACATTCATATACCACAACTTGCTCAGCCATTCCCCAATTGATGGGAATCCTCTCAAATTCCAATTCTTTGCCACCACAAAAAGAGTTGCTATGTATATTTTTGTACATGTGGGTCCTTTTCCCATTTGTTTGATCTCTTTGGGATATAGCCCTAGAAGTGCTATTGCTGGATCAAAGGGTA